TACTGTAAATTAAATGCTGAGTAGCGGTTCATGCAGGGAAAGAACATATCAATATTCGCATATTCATTCAAAAACATGAAAATTCTTAATGGAGTACCCTCATTTTTTATTGAATTCCTAAAAAACAATATTTATAATGAATTTTAATAATTTTTTGGAATTTTTTTTAAGCTTTATTCTGACCGATTCACTCGATTCCCTATCCTGATCGCCGATTCGCCGATCCGGATCGGTTTTCTGGAAGCCCGATCCGTTTTTTAAACCATTGGTTGCGAGTATGCAGATCCCGCCAACAGTCACAAGTCTAAACAAGCAAGGACAGCTTTCTCTATAAATGATGCTCATTTTCGCATTCAAAATAGCAAGCCTTTTACTTACGCAGTATCTCTTATTTCTTTCGTACTTTTTTCCACTTAACTAGCGATATAATCATTCAATCTTATGTTTTCAGGTATCCAGAAAACAATTTTTAACTAAACAACTAACTCAAATTAATTTTTATTAATAAAGGATAAATATTCTCTTCAAATAACAAACTGACATCGTCCTTTAAAAATAGAAAAAAAATCCTTTTAAATTATCGAACGTGAACCTTGCTCTGTTTCTCTCTCATTGTACACATCAGGATGAGTACCTTTCTGTTCTGCTTGCGCTCTTCTTCTTGTCTCTGTTTTGTCATGCAGAGAGATCTTTTTCCTTCTGTTTTCTTCACTGGAATTTCTTGGGCTTCTTTCCTATCTTTGGAAATTTCTGTTTCTTTTCTTTTTGCAGTGTGGGAGTGATTGCTTCTGGCATGTGGGGTGACCAATTGATTGCGTTAGAGAGAGAGATGGGATCTTTCTTTTGTTTTTAGTTCTGAATATTTCTCTCTCTCTTCCTTTACCTTTTGGTTTTGTCGGTGGGAATTTACCACATTATACATATGTTAATTGCTTGTTTGGTTGATCCGATAAGCTTTAAGGTTGGGGTTTGCAGCTCTGAGTTAAAAAGAACATCGAGTAATCAAAATTAGTATTCAAAGGAAAAAACATTTTATCATTCAACAAAAATAAGTGAGTAACCTAATTGGGGTGTGGTTTGTATAAGGCTGAAGTCCAAACAGTCAAAGTAAGTTGCACATTTAGTTCGAAAGATGTTGTTTCAGCAACGAAAATCCTTATAATGTTTTAAGTATATTTTTATATTTAATTATGAAATTAAAAGCTTCAAAAATAGTGTAGATCAAGCAGATCTTTGAACACTTAAAAATCTTAAAAATCAATATCTAGATAATGCATTACAAGATGTACTATTTCCAAGACATGAAGTCCATTTTTTTTTATATCTATGTATCTTAAGGTCAGGATAATTGGATTTGAGGGTTACTTGGCATCGGAACAATTCTTCTAGTAGATGCCTTAGTTTGATTGTTTAGGGCATCATTCTTGTATAAACTTTTTCCATTTAATTGTGATTCACATAATTACATAAAATCTACGTTTAGAGAAGCCCTCTAAAGTCATCACTACTGCCCCTACACTTGCTCCACTAAACGAAAGTTCATACATATTTATTTTGTAATCCACTTTAAAATCACCAAACAAGTATTTTCATAAATAAAAAAAGTTTTTGGTCTTTTTTTAAAAACTTTTTTTTTTTCGGGATTGTGTATGATAAGATTATTCACTTTTCGTACAAAGGGTTACAATCATCTTTAGCTATCAGATATGAAATCCATCTTAAAGCGTGTCACATAGTTTGAGAAGTTCTACTTTGGACTTTGTTCCCGGTCAGTGGCACGCCCGCAACCACCCAATTTCGTATCTAACAATGAATAATGATTGTAACCTCCATAAACCAAAAGCAAATGGTCTTATTGTATATATTTCCCAAATGGTCTTATTGTATACATTTCCTTTTAAATATCTTCACGGTGCCACAATAAAATAAAAAAAAGGCAATCTCAATTGAACATTAAGTTTAACATTAGGATGTTATTTTCTGCAAGTACATACAGAACAAAATTGTTTTTTTTTTTTTTCTTTTTCTTTTGTAAGATTGGCCACTAATTCCAAAAATATACTCTGTAAAGCATCTAATTTGCTCTTGAAGCTGTATACGTAATCTTCTCTTGCTTGTCGTAGCCGTGATTCGGTAAAAAAACTTTTCTAAAAACATAGTATTTTGATATTGGGTGTGGTTTCTTAAGGTTGCAACCTTAAACAATCCAATTTTGGCGCACTTCCAAATTTTATCATTACATATAATTTTGGTATAAACCTTTTTTAGGAATTATATGAAGGGAAAAGTTTATCTAAGGTTACAACCTTAAAATGTAAAACTACGGGTGCACTTCAAAAATCCATCAGTAAAAGTTGTTTTAATGTTGAAAGCCCCTCTAATTGATCATCTCAAAATCGAGATGTATGACTTTGGAAAAAAAAAAAAAAAGATTTTGAGTTCCAAAAATGGTGAATCTTACAACATATTATCTAGAACGTCTATTTTCAAGATTTTCATATGTTTATAGATTTACTTGATTTTAATCATATTTGGAGTTTAAAATTTATAATTAGATTTAAAAATAGATTTTGAGATAATCTTCAAAATATGTAACATCAAAATTATATATTATGACAAAATTTGAAGGTGCGCCTTAAATGGATTGTTTAAGGTTGTAACCTTATGGAAACCACACCCTTATCTGAAAATCTATTTCATATCTAATTATAAAATTTTAAACTCCAAAAATAGTTAAAATAAAATAGATCTATAAACACATGAAAATCTTGAAAATAGACAGTCTAGATAATGTGTTACAAGATGCACTATCTATGGGACTCAAAATCGTTTTTTCATATTCATATATCTTAATGTCGAGATGATCAATTAGAGGGTTT